TTTTTTTTTTTTTTTTTTTTTTTTTTTTTTTTTTTTTTTTTTTTTTTTTTTTTTTTTTTGTTCACATTTATACTCGTCAGACTTTGGCTGCGAGTATGAATGATTTGCAGCATCTTTGGCTGAGCTTATTTTAGGGACGGCTTATATTTAGTTTCCAAGCGCAGGGCGTCACGGCGTCTTCTATGCTTTCGAATTGCAGGCTCAGACCTGAATTTCCATATCTATCCCCGTCCACGTTGCTTGACTAGCTATCACCAGTCAGCTAGTTGAGAGGAACATTTTATTGACTAGAAGAGAATGAAAGACCCGAACTCGGACTCACCAGAGACAGCTCAGAAGAAAAATGATTACCTTTTCATCTTCTCATCAAGGGGGCGCTAGATGCGGTCGCTTGGAGAGGAATGCTTCATTTCTTCTGGGTTGTGTCAAGGCAGAGCTCTGTTTAATGGGCTTATAGGGGTTTGACGATGGCTTTTTGCATGTTCGGAGTTGTGTTGAGATGTGGTGCAGCATGACATCATTGCATCGATACCACAGAACACACCCCGGCCAAATTGATACCATGATTCTATTAACATACAGCGATGCGCAATGTCAACTGCAACGCAGCAATACTGTAAAAATGCTCTCCAACCACCGCAAATCAACCAATCTACCCTCCAGCAGACCCTGAAAGAACTCCAGCACGCAGTAATCCAGGGCACTAAAGTACTGCAAGCTGGCTCTCAGGCCCCAGTGAACTCTGCTGACCATAGTAGTATTTATAGCGGGACAGCAGGTGCGCATTGCACATTTACACATCTGAATGCAATAATTGACAAGGCTACAGGCATCGTACTGGCGTTTCTTCGACTAGAGCGCCAAAAAGACGTCCTCGGGGAGACGAAACTTCCTGGTTTCGGAAGACTTGCGAGCGAGAGGATCATTCCTGTTGGCAATGTGAAAATTCCGCCTCCGGGATACATGTCGCCCGTGGGGTCGTCACTAGGACCACTCGCCATGCGAGTCTTGGCCGCCCTTGAACATCCGGGTCAGTCGGTTTCGCAGAATGACATCAATCTGCTGAATACCGCAGTGCAGCGCTCGCTTGGCCATGGCCATGTGGTTTCAAGTTCATCGGGAGATCATATCCGGGGTGTTGATGAAGTGCTCTACGGACGTGCAGGGTTACTTTGGGTCGTTATAAGTATTCGATATTATCGTCATATGTTAAACGAGATGAAGGTGAATACGGAATCTCTTTTTGAAGCGATTCCGAAGCTTGTTAAGATGATTATTGATGGCGGGAGACGCGGTGCGAGGGATTATGTTAAGAACTATGGGGAAAAGGGCGCCTTGCCGTTGATGTGGGTGTATAAGGATGAGAGGTATTCTCTGGGGGCGTGAGTGTTCTTTTCCTTCTTTTAATGAAAAGAAAATTACTAACAGGAACAGTGTCCATGGAATCGGTTAGTATATGAATTTTATGTCCATCAACATGACTACTAACAAACGCAGCCGGCATCCTCACAACCCTCCTCTCATGCGAAGTCGAAGAACTTAATCCCTACCTCCCGCTAATAGCAGAAACAATCACCGGAATCTGCCGCATTTCCATTGCCAATGACGGCCATCTTCCCAGCTCTATCCCCTCCCGATCTAGATCTCGAGGATCCCCTCTTGTTCAAATCTGTCACGGCGCACCGGGACTTTTGATTCTACTCGCAACTGCCAGGAAGAGCACCCATTTACGGACACATTGGAAATCAGAGTGGGACGAGGCTATTTATCTCGGTGCAGAGAGGGTCTGGCAGGAAGGTCTTTTATCTAAAGGCGGTAGCCTCTGCCACGGACTTACGGGGAATGCATGGTCTTTGCTAGCCCTACACGAGTCCTTCGAGATCGAGTCTGAATCTGAAGGAAACGAGAAAAGTGACAATTTCCTCTCTAGAGCACTAACTCTTCTACTCCTAGCGCGAGAAACACCGCCATACAGCACGGTCCTGGGTATCCCGTCTGGATATGACTTCCGCATGCCGGATAGACCGTATAGTCTTTATGAAGGGCTAGCCGGAGAGATGTGTGCTTGGGCTGAGGCCTGTGTAGTGGTTCAAGCGAGGCTTTGTAAGGAGACAGGGCAGAGGGAGAAGCATAATGTTAAAGGAAAGGCATTGGGATTTCCGTGTCTGGGTGGGAATGGGGTGAGAGGGGCTATGTGATTGTATTCGGCTATCTGGGTGAAATAAAAAAGTGACTGATTTTATATTAAAATATCTTGGATAATAACATCAAGTATTGGAGCACAATGCATGTTTAACAGATATGTTGGGATTCTCTGGCCGGTACATAATAGGTCTCGACAAGATCTAACGATCTAACCTCTTGTCCTGTCGGTCTGATTGGTAAAATAGACTATTGGATTGATCGTGGCTGGTTTGCGCGGCATGGGTTCTGAGAGTTTCGTCATGTATGTGACGTTGCGGATAGACATATATGAGCCTTACTCGAAACAGCATGAACGGACTGCTTGGTGTTTAATGAAAACCGGTGTATGGTCAGCGTTTAATATGCTACAAATAAACACCCCCTGCCCCGGAAACCTCTGATAATCCTTTCTCCCCCTTTTAAAACGAGAGCAACAAGGATGGGACCTAGGTTGCGTGTATTGTTGGCATACGCTGAGTTCCATCGCCATACTTGTGTATTTTCAGGAATGGAGGCTTGGTGTCGATACTTCTTGTTAAGTGGTAGGATCAAACCTTTCCATGCTTCAGCTTGGATGTGGCTTCTCTTTTTCATGATGGTTATTTCTGAGAACGTCCCATCTTGCATAATGATCAAAGTAATTATCCTTGAGTGTCGCCTCCTTGACATGAATTCGGTGGCTATCCATCTCAATTGTATACTCGCTTCTACCTTAGGGTTATTTGTAATGAGTTGCTGAAACGAAGTTCAGGTGTACTGTATTATCGTATTGAGAAACCCAGCATATTAATAGATAGTGATGATTCATGAATGCAAAACCAAGGTATACAAACGCCAAACCAAATAGTCTACTAAAGGTCATCGTTGTTGAAAACGAGTCAACTCAACCCCATATTCATCTCATCACTTAATCCTAATTCCCTCTCAACCCTCTCGGTGCCACCGGTAGCTCGCGTACCCCAGCGATCAAGACGATCCTGCGCGTTGATAATCTCCCGGTCACGGACACTGCGGATATCACTGATACTCCCGTGTGTACTCCCTTCGCGACCCAAACTGCTATGGCTTGAATGGCTCGACGGTTTGTGAGAACGAGTCGACGACGATGATGACTTAATGTTAATTGGCCTCGAGCCGGAGGGACTGTTATTGGTGGCAGATGTTATTTTTTGGTTTGTAACGGGAGAGGGATTGGTGGTGGATATGGAAGTGGAGGAGGATGCCGCTCCAGTAGGGGTACTGTTGCTGGATCTGTCGCTTACACTCTTCGAACTCCCGAACCAACGTCTGCGTCGTGTTTTGGACGAAGTCGATTGGGAGGTACTCTTGGCATCTTCATAATGGCCGGCATTCTGTTCGTTTTGCAATGCTTGGGTTAAGGTGGATGTGGATTCCGTCATGTCTTCGGGGGGTGGAATTTCGACGAGTTCAGCATCACGGTGCCACTTTCTCCGGCGGGTATATCGATCCCATCCATCTTGGCCCCGACGGCCTTCGTTCCACTACTCAAGTTCGTTAAATTCGAAACAGAAGACTCCGCAGAAACGCAACCAACCTTGTTATCGTAATAGATCCATCCTCCACCGTCTGATGACTTGGAATCCGCCTTGTCACTAGATTCTTCAGCTCCTTCTATCCGCCACTCACTGCTTTCCACCCAGCGCCATTCAGCATTGCCGCTGTGTACATCCGGGAGTTCAAACTCGTCTCTTGGAGGGACACTGTTGAGATGTTCATCTGTCCATGCCGTCCGCTCAGAAGGGAACAGGGAATACGTCCATCCTATTCCAAGCCAACGGCGTTGGTTCTCATAGATGACAAAAGTGAAGCGAATACCTGACGACTCCGGATTGCGCTTGGTTGTCATGTCCTTAGCAGGGCCGCGAGTCACACTTCTGATCGACTGGGACCTGTCGGTCTCTGAGGAAAACTGGAGACCAGTAATCATTGAACATATCCGCCGGACAAAGAGAGATCTCCACAGGATAACCCGGGCGACTCGTGCCGGTCGGCAGTGATATGTAAGGAAAGAGGTGCCCACCAGCATGACGACACGGCGGGTGGTGAGCAGATAGAATGGAGGAAGAGTCAAGAGGATCCATATCGGGGTGACGAAAAGGATACGAAAGAATAGAGCAGTCAGGGCTGGTTTGGTGGTAGAGGAAGTGGCCGTCCGCTGGGTGGAGAGGAAATCGGTTAAATCGAGTAGAGGTTCGAGGAGGATATTACACCGGGTGGTGAAGGTGCGCAAGGTTTCGACGATTTCGTCTAAGCTGGTATGGTGTCGAGCTGTCCCGCCGTCTGCTGCTGCCTTCTGGTAGTCCGTAGAAGTAGGCTTTTGATCAAACCATGAGCGAGAGGATAGCGGAGAATAGCGACGCCAGTACATTCCTAGGATCAATCCGATCACAACGATAATCGGACCGGCCCAGTGAATAACGGCATCGCCATACATAACAACCGCCCAGAAAGCTGCGACGAGCAAAAAGCTCTCCCACGGGTCACCCGAGGTCCATGTCAACAAGCCAGCCAACTTATTTAGTGGCAGTATGAACGGGTGCGAATAGGCCAAGGCTCGCGTGACAGCGGGCGGAGTAGCGACCAGCAACGGCGACTTGCGATGGACAATGACACTGGAGCGCTGTCTCGAGGTCAAGGACGAACCGGCGATGGTGGTGGGAGAGAAAGCGGCGACGGTCGGCTGCTGGCTATCCAGCTGCACGCCATGATCTTGCGCGTACGAAGAGGACGCCATGGAATCTATCCACGGAAAATCGTCTGGCATGGCATCATCAGCATGGAAAGGACTGTGAAAAGCAGAATTCCAGAGAGAAGATGAAGTGGCTGTGAAAACAGTAGCCGTGGCTGAAGAAGACGAAGAACGATGCTGAGGCCTCATAGTAGCGGAACTAGTGATAGTAGTAGACCTACCGAGAGCTGCCATCCAACAGAGACGTCATACGTCAGTGTCATTCTGCAATTGAGAGCAGAAGAGAGAAGTGATGAAAGAGAAAGGGGATTAGAGAGAGAGAGGGGAGAGAAGCGAGAGGAAAGAGAAATTAACACAATAATTTAGCCTGTCTCATTCTATCGCACTTTGCTGCTTCTCGGTCTTCAGCGCGGGGAGAGCATGTGACTCGGTAATACGGTACAGATACATACATAGTAGAGATCTTACTATGTACTCTGTAGAAGCACAGAGATTTATAGAGAGAATAATTGAAGTATTTCTTCTTTCTACTGCTACTCCGTGCATTCTCTTCTATCCCTATTATATCGTCTTTTGATTGGTATTCTGGGGCGACATCGCTGACCGGCCTCGCTGCCGAATTTTTCCGCTTTCAACTTCTCCGGCTGGAAGATCTCTCGCTTTACACCTCCGGTTACATTCTGTCTGTTGTAAGAGCAGTTCTTCATTGTTATATACCTTCATAATGGTGAGTAATCTCTTTTATACTTTAATACTTTAACCAGAAATTGACCAAATAGGCCCACCGTATCGTCGGCCAGGTCCTCGTCACCGGCGCTCGAGTCTTCGGTCGAGCCTTCGGAGAGGCATACAAACAAGCCCAAGCCTCCTCCAAATATGCCGCTGAAGCTTCCAAAGGCAACATGGGTGCCGCAAACACCTTCGCATCCGGTGGTTTGTCTCTCGATGAGGCCTGCAGGATTCTCAACACCAAGCCCCCACAAGGCGGCAAAGCAGAACTCGATCAAGTCATGGAACGGTTCAAGAAGCTGTTCGACATGAACAACCCCGAGAAAGGAGGCAGTTTCTACATTCAGAGCAAGATCCTCCGCGCACGCGAACGGATAGAGATGGAGATTCGACAGGCAGAACGACAGGCGGCACATGAGAAGGAGCTGAAGGATGGGTGGAAGCCTAAGGTGTACAAGGACCGGTGATCTCTCGTCTACGTCTTTCGAACCGGTTCCCAACGAAAAAGCTTGAACGCATGTCTGGCCCTGCGTCGTCTCCCGCCACGAGATAAATTCAGAAAAAAAAAAAAAAAAAAGAGAAAAAAAAAAAAAAAAAAAAAAAAAAAAAAAGTGCCGCCCCTCGGTTTTCGCAGCATAGCATGGCGTTTGTGGTCTTACTCGAATTTCTATACTCTCGTACTCTCGCATGAAAGTGCTTCATGTCGGAAAGGATTGGACTGGAGTTGATCGGACTCAATTCTATCGTTCTAGTTGGAGGGGATTTGTACAGTATACTGGGGAGCGTGAAGGATTGATATTTCTCTTTTGGTTTCGCTTCGTCTGGATTATGAGCAACTCTTCTCCACTCTTCCTCCCTAACTCCCCAGAAGGATGTTATGTATTATAAATACTGTGTATGTGTGATGTCTGATTGACTTAGTTATGTATAGAGATGTTCTACCAGGATCAGCATCCAGTTGTAGACTAAAAAGCAGTGCTCATCCGCTGGTAACTCTCCAAGTCCAAGTGAACAAGGAGATTCAAGTGAATGTATATTAATCAATTGTTTTCTAGAGGATTTGACAACAATGGGGGGGGGGGGGCAAGAAAATCTATATAAACGGAACGCCCCGCTTCAATCCCTCTACAAATCCTTTTCAACCCTCTGGATTTCCTATTCTGACCCTTACTTGCTTCAATCTACCAGCTCGGCCAAGCCTTGTCTTACCAGAGTAATAGAGTACTGCAAAATGGGCCACCCTTCAGTACCACTATCTGCCCACCTTCCCCCGCTGGTGATGGGCACCGCAACCTTCAACACCCAATTTAACCACGACCCTTACGCCCTCCCAACCACCGAACTCATTCATCGCGCCCTCGCCAGTGGCGTTTGCGCCTTCGATACCTCACCCTACTACGGCCCCGCCGAAGAACTATTAGGCCGAGCTCTGGCAACCGACTACGTCCGCGCAAATCACCCCCGAAAATCCTACAGGATTCTAACCAAAGTCGGTCGCGAGTACGCCTCGTCCTTCGACTATTCGCCGGAATGGGTGCGTATTAGTATCAAGCGCAGTCTTCAGCGCCTGCATACGGGTTATCTGGATTTGGTGTACTGTCATGATGTCGAGTTCGTGAGCCCCGCGGAGGTCCTGCAGGCTGTGCGGGAACTGCGGCGCATCCGCGATGAGGAAGGTACTATCTGCTACGTGGGAATTTCAGGGTACCCGATTGATGTACTGTGTGAATTGGCGGAGATGGTACTGCGCGAGACAGGCGAGCCCCTCGATGCAGTCATGTCGTATGCGCATTTTACGCTGCAGAATACCTCCCTTCTAACCCGGGCACTGCCACGCTTGCTTAACGCCGGTGTCGACGTCGTCCCCAACGCCTCGCCGCTTGGTATGGGACTACTGCGACGGCAGGGCGTCCCCATCGGTAGTCAGGGCGATTTCCACCCGTCGCCGGCGGGGTTGCGGGGTGCTATCCAGAAGGCGGCGGAATGGGCCGATTCGCAGGGAGAACGGATCGAGGTAGTTGCGATTCGGTATGCGCTGGAGAGATGGCTTCGCGAGGCAACTGAAGTCGGTGCATCGGGATCGCCACCGCTTGTGCCTTCTGCTGGCATCGAGGAAGTGTCGAGCAATGGCGGAAGCAAGCCCGTGCACGGACGTCTCGGTGTCAGCGTCATGGGCGTGAGTAACGTCGAAGAATTGAACGAGACTTTGCGCGTCTGGCACAGTATCCTCGAAGGGTTGGATACTGCACCTGCGCCTGCATCTGATAATGCGAACTGGTCACGCACACGTCGGCAGCAAATCCTCACACTCGCGCAGGGCATCCAGTCAATTATTGGCTCGGAGTGGGTGGACTATGCCTGGGAGAGTCCAGGGCCAGGGTTTATAAATACCTTGCCCGAGAAGCATCTCGACGAATTGCGGAAGGCTAGAGCTGAGTCTGGATAGACTGCCGAAAAGATTATGCGTCTACGAAAGCACGGACACGACATAATATGTACTCTCGAATAAACAACATTTTTATGAGATATAGAATTGTCGCATTATAGTACAATTTCTCCCGTCAATACGACATAGACTACATCCAAAAGTACGGGAACATTCTCATTTAACTCTAAAATCCAATAATGTGTAAATACAAACATAATTATTGGCATTTAAACTCAACATGGGCATAACAGAGGCCTCAAAGCAGCAAAGAATTTCAACTGGTCCAATAAATTCAGTGCATAACGTTTTCGCAATTCGGGGAAGAAACTAAAAGGAAACGCCAGAGATAGAAGGAAAGAAGACAAATCAAAATAATAATAAAACCAGGCCATTGCTAGTTTCTTAAATTGGACTTCAACAAGGCCTTTTTTCAAATGTATCACCCTTTGCTTGCGCAGAACTGTTGGATTCTGAAAAATCCATGAAACTGAAGCCATTAGCTTGGTACGGTGCACAATTACTTCATTGCCATCAAAATAGGCCTCAATGATACGTGGTGATAGACCATATACTGAAATCAGTATAACCAAGGATGACACATGTACGTCAGTTAAACAGCAAGATGAGAGAACAGAGGAGGTTGGACATACTGGTGCAATTCTATCGTTGAAAAAACACTTAGGTTTAGTTGACCACGCATGAATTTGAGAATTGTTAGCACCTTTTCCTGTGGGAGGTGAGTTTCATTCATCATCATACATGATGCATTTGATGTGTGGTCCGGACATAGTCCTCACATTGAGCAATCCAGTAGACCCCAAAATATAGCCTAATGGGGTGAATTTGGGACGACTTTCTGAATGTATGATAATCACCTGGCCTGTAGTTTTTGGGTGAGCTCATCAACTTGAAGACGTGCGCCACGGTTGGTAACTCAGTGCTTGGAGAACCACGGTTTCCGATCTCCCGACATCCTTAGATCCAAATTCTCCAATATCCTCTAAGATATAGGTACATTGAGTACGCGTGTCCTTGAGGCGGCTGAAGAAGCTAGTTTTGTCGATTTCATAGGTGACCTCCTCCCTGGGGTCTGTCATGTCTGTACGGGGGTATGATGCAAAGAACTTTGGCATGAGTGCTCCATTGCCTATCAAAATCAAAAGGCAGCACCTGAATGTTGCATTTCTGGAGTGTACCTATATGAATGACGTGATCGTCCTTTATGCTCTGAGTATATTGTGTCATGGAAAGCAGTTTGTTACATAGTTCCTCCCGATCCTGTGACAGGGCTCATAGTTATTCTCCATAGTCAAATAGGTCTAAGCAGGGAGTTGTCTTTGACAATGAGGACGGCGACGACGACGATGAAGACAACGGTGAATTGCAGGGGATCATTCCCACCCACCAAAGACGAACAGACCGTCAACACTGCTCTCGTACTATTCCTTAGCCCTACATTGCAAGCCCTTTGTAGCGAATTAGTTCGAGGTAAGGACACTAGACGGTTATCTCGGAACGAGCAACGAAGATTTTAGGATGATTATTAAGTCAGGGAGAAAGAAGAGGAATTTCAAAAAGATGGCAGCGTGGACTCAAATACAACTCTAATATGCGTGCACGCCAAAAGCAACCACTCTGTGGCCAATGATATGCCACCTAGAGGTCTTTCTGCCTGGACATGCATAGTCCTATTTATACCAAACAACACCGATCTCAACATTGTATTCAATTCATCTTTGGCCCTAATGGATCCAAAACACCCCCTAGAACCCGAAGAGCGCCAGAACCTAAGTAGAGAAGTACCATACATCAGAAAAGCCATCCTGCGTATAGAATATGATCACCTACTCACTACCAACACGCCCCAGTACCTTAAGATCCGAGTGCTGCCCCTTGACTTAGGAGGCGATAAGGCTCTTAGGCCTAAGTTCTTTACACCATATTTCCTCGAAAGCTTCAGAGAGCCCACAGACAAAGTCATGGGAGACACCTATACCGTTGGTGGTACAAGTGATTACGGTGCCTCAAACAGCATGCTTACTCTATCTGGTTGTTAATTGAATCGTGCTTGGATCTGGAGATGTCTAAAGATGAGCAGAAGCTGTGGTTTTCTAAGCAGTGAGCTTTGTTATTTTGGGGTTCGGCTAACCTGCAAGCTGCAGACCAGACGATTACCAGGAATTCAGAAACCTATGCCAAATGCACCCTTTAAGACGCAGGTTGGGGTCTATTTGACTGCAATATCAGGGCTATGTTAAATCACAGATTAAATACATTGCATACAATGACGTGGGAGCCGATGATTCCCATCGCCCACGCGGAGAGATTCTGACGAGCATCAATCTAATGTAAGGTCAATTGAGACATGTGGACTCTTGTTTATTTAAATCACCCCAGTGCATCCAGCCATTGCAATCTTTTCATTCTACATGCATGTAAATTGACGGTGTCTAGGTCTTCTTGATTTCGCTATACAGGCTATATCCGCGTATTATCGAGGCATACTTAAATGGCAAGGAGATGGTTATACTCCATACTAAGGGGTATGACTTTAGTTTTATGAACTCAGGGGCGTTCAAGATTTTTGCGCAGTGGGATTTTGCACAGCCGAAGGGTGATACGTCCAAGGGTGGTCTTAGCCATCTTGGGGTTGAGAGGTGTTAATATCTGAGTTGAGTGGTGGTGATTATGTCCTCATAGATTCTCGTTGACCACTAGAAACCTCTCCTTGGTAACAAGTAGTATAATTAATAGTCGTATACCATCCCTACGCCAAAATGACATCCCACTTCAGGCCCTCCAACACATCTAACCAATGCCTCCCCTCCCTGCTATCACTCCAAAGAACATTCAATATCTCTTTCGCCCTCCTAACATTCCCAATTCCGAAATTCCTCTCTAACGCCCCCAATGCCCTCAGAACAAGGTCCCTCTCTGCTGTAGCCTGGCACTCACATCCCGCAATGAACAGTGGGAACGTTAACGCTGAGTACTCACAATACTCTGGGTCGAGATGGAAAGTTTCTATGCGGGATAGACAGCGCTGCAAGGCCTCTTCTTTGGACGTTGAGATGGGGTATATGGAGGATATGCGCTCGAGAATGGAATGGAGGTAGATATATGCTGCATCGCGGAAACATTCTGCGACCATTTGCAGACGGAGTAGGACAGAAGGTGTCAATCCCGGCGGAATTATGTATTGGTTTGTTGGTGTTGTGGGAGACCAGGTTTGGAGGGAGGCATCACTTTTTTGTAAGCTGCATGCTTGAACTAGGGATGTAGATGTGCTTACATTTCGCCCACTTCTGCTTGTAGAGATAAAGGGTCTAAAAATGGGAGATCAGATGTTCTAGCGCAGAGCTTAAGTATATCCTCTGTATAACCGATATAGATATCGAGTTTCCTGATCCGCACACTGTCGACCTCCGGCATGATGCCGGTGATGTGTCGTCGATTGGTAAGTTTGGCTACATTATGCGCGTATGTAAAGCTGCCCTCGTTAGCCTCATAACCTCACACAATGGGGTGTAAAAAAAACGCACAATCCACACAAATACTCAGCCGTGTCCCGATCTAAAGAACCATATCCACCCCTCGAAATAACTAATCTCTGTAACGCCCCCAAATGTACCGCCCACTGCCTCACGCTCCCGCGCACAATCTCATACTTGCAAAGAAGCCCAACAGCCAGGACCACTTCATCCGAAACTCCTCTACCAGGATCTTCAGCTAATGCCACCCGTATCCCTTTCATAGTCTGAATGTAGTATTTCGTCGCGGCTGTCTGTGCACTGACACTGGCACCGAAACTATCAAAAGAGCGATTGGAAAAGTGCATCGCAGACAATGCGCACATGGCTTTCATTAGGAGTGGGGAGGATAATGCGCGCGGAATGATGAGAGAGCGGAGGGGGTTCTCAGTGGTTTCAAGGTTGGCAAGGAGTTTGGAACCTTGCTCGACATGGTATTGAAGGTAGTGGGTTTCGAGAGGGGTGAGGTGGGTTAGGTAGAAGCTGGGTTGGGGAGATGCATAGGGTGTATATTCTGATTGACTGATTTCTTCGCTCAGGGCATAATTTTCTGAAGAAGGATTGTCATCAAAGTCCACCAACACAGGCGAAATAGTCGATAATGCTGAACTTTCTTCCGAAGCCCCATCCGAGCTGCATGGCAAAGACGAACTCATCCTCCGCCGTTTCTGCGCTTCCGACTGAAACACTTGCGCAAATGGATCCAAAGGCTCTGCCCACATAGATCCATATCCTTCACATTTCTTTCCTAATCTAGTGCAGGTATGGCAGCTATCAATGTCAGCCTTACCCCGGATATCATAGATCTATCTAGATCTATGCGGCATAGATAGTGGCTATACCCACCTCGGTTTAGCCTCATCGCATCGCTTCCGGCGCTTCTTGCATGTCAAGCAACCTGATCGAGACCATCTCCCGCCTTCTCGTCTGTATTTCTTTTTCGTTGATGCGGCATGGTCCGCAGCCGAGGTTGTAGTACCAATTCGATTCATGCTGCGGAGTGGTTTTTCTGCCACATAATCTGCTCTTATCGCCAATGGAGCTCCTAGACGATCGAGACGAGGGTTTCAAATGCATCCCAGCGATTTGTGTAGTGCATGCAGCCAAACCAGGCAAAAATTGATGTCGTTGAAAGTCACGAGGGGAGAACAGACGCTAATCCTTTTACAGTAAGAGATGCGCTGTTATCTTATCTTATCAGTATCCGACTTCTGCGAAGGGACTTCGGACTAGTACGGGGGGTCATTAAGATAACTTCTTGGTCTTGGTAATAGAAACCGCACTAATTGTGCTGTCTTTAGTCTTGGATAATAATACCAGCGCTTAACACAAAGTGTGAATCAATGGTAATGCCGTAGTGATTGGATCTGCAGTCTGTATATCGAGCATTCCCACAGCCCTTTGACTAACAGGAGAAAAGCCCCGGTCTTACCCTAGTGACCGAATGAATATTCGCGGCAGTCCAAGCACTGTTTACTCTCGGGACTGGAATGTCTGGTTGTACTTACTCTTTTTCTTTCTTTTCACTGTGATATGGCTGGCCCTCCGACAGACGCCGGACGCGAGCGACCCGCTCCGCTCGTTTACCCAAAATGGCAAGTCCATCCAGAAGGCCGATATGCTCTGATATACTGCATGGCATGAGGGAGTGTAGGGTATTTAAGAAGTTAAGTGTCCTGCTCAATTTGCACAGTCTTTTGGATTTCGATTACCATCTCTCAAAAAGGTTACCCTTGATTTGATATATGTATTGTCCCTACACAATGCCTTTAACAAACCTTCACCCCTTCGACCCGATCACGCCCGGGGAGATCCAGCTAGCTGTTCGAGTTCTGCAGGCAGCCTTTCCTGGTGTATCACTGCGATACAAGAAGATTGACCTGCAGGAACCTATTAAAGCGGAAGTGATCCCATACATCGAAGCAGAGAGATTACGACAGCCTTTACCATCCAGGCCAGCTCGTATTTTGCTCACTTATTTCAACCGTCTCGACAATGGATCGTTCTACAAGGCATTATTGAACGCGGATACCAGATCAATTATCTACGCAAAGGAAATGCCCAAAGAGGTGCAAGTGCGTTCTCATCTCCACATCCTATCCATGTGACTGTACTGACAACGATAGGCACCCGTTGACATCGACGAACTAGCCGATATTGAAGACCTCTGCATGCATCATCCAGCAGTACAGGCTGAAATCGAGAGACTCAAGCTCCCGCCAGGGATTACCGTCTGCAATGATCCCTGGATGTACGGCACAGATGACGCCAATGAAACACGACGCCTCTTCCAGTGCTTCATGTATATGGTTGAAGTCGAACATCCTCAGAACAACCATTACTCCCTGCCATGCAAATTCTCGCCTGTGTTTGACGGCACCACGCACGAACTTGTCCGTATGGACTATCTTCCTGGTGGTGCGGATACTGCCTCTGTGGAAACGCAGCCATGGAAGCCTGTCAGGGCTGTGCAATATGCACATGAGCTTTTGGATGAACCGCTCAGACAGGATCTCAAGCCTTATATTGCACAGCAGCCCGAGGGGCCTTCTTTTAATGTCGACGGCAATCTGGTATCTTGGCAGAAATGGCGGTTCAGAGTAGGGTTCAACAGCCGTGAGGGTCTTGTCATTCATAATGTGACATACGATGACCGCAGTTTGTTATATCGTCTTTCTGTTTCGGAGATGACTGTTCCTTATGGAGGTGAATGCCCTACTATCAGAAGAACCGAAAATGGATCTTGCTAACGAGATAGACCCCCGCGCACCTTACCACCGAAAGCAAGCCTTTGACGTCGGCGACGTTGGCTTTGGCTTAAACGCCAACCAACTATCCCTAGGCTGCGACTGCCTTGGCCACATCAAATACTTCGACGGCTACAGAGCCGACTCCAAAGGCAACCCTGTGCAAATGCAAAACGTAATCTGCATGCACGAACAAGACAATGGTCTCCAACACAAGCACACCAACTACCGTACCGGTGCCGCAACAGTTGTGCGCAACCGCCAACTCGTCCTCCAAATCATCTGCACCGTCGCCAACTACGAGTACATCTTCGCATATATTTTTGACCAAGCCGCAAACGTGGAACTCGAAGTCCGCGCCACAGGCATTCTCTCCACAGTTCCCTTCGACAACCAAAACGGCGAGACAGTTCCCTGGGGCACGAATGTCGGACCCGGCGTCATGGCCCCATTCCACCAACACATGTTCTCCCTGCGCATCGACCCGGCCATCGATGGTTACAACAACACAATATACTACGAAGATAGCATCCCACTTCCCGAAGACGACGAGAAAAACCCCTACGGCGTAGGCTACACAACCAACCAAACAACGCTCCGCAAATCGGGCACCGCAGAAACAGACACCTCACGCCACCGCGTCTTCAAAATCCGGAATGACTCCATTAAAAACCCCATCACCTACAAGCCAGTCGCATATAAGCTTATGACGGCACCGAGTCAGATGATGCTGGCTAGCAAGAAGTCGCTGGGGTGGCAGAGAGCTGTGTTTGCTAGTAAGCCGATTTGGGTTACGAAATACCGGGATGAGGAGCTATTTGCTGCGGGGGAATTTACGAATCAGTCGAGACGGTCGGAGGGCGTTGAAACATGGGTTGCTAGGAACGAAGGGACGGAGAATGAGGATGTAGTGTTGTGGCATAGTATGTTCCCTTGTCCCCTTTGTCTTTCCTTTCAAGATTCCTTTGGTACGTGAACAGAGTGCTAATACGCAATGCAGCCTTCGGGTTAACACATAACCCTCGCGTCGAAGACTTCCCTGTCATGCCCATGGAGAAGATCAGTGTTATGCTACGGCCGGATGGGTTCTTTACTAAGAATCCCGCATTGGATGTACCGCAGTCGTCACAGGTGTTCAACAAGTCTACTCTTCATAAGGCTAGCCCTGCAGCTGTGAGTGCATGTTGCAGTGTTGGTAGTAGGGCTAAGTTATTCAAGAGGATTGAATAAATGACAGGCATCTGAATAAGGATGACACGGTGTTCGTTGGGTCAATATATATAGCCTCTACTTTTGTTGGGGAAGTAACCATTACAAATTCATTACGACATATCTTCTGCCATAGAGATACATTGCCCTCCAGCTCATCGAGCCATGGAGGGTATATAGATCCGAACAATCATACACGTAGTTTCATCATTTTTCCTCATTCCCATGCTTAATTTTCCATATTTTTCACCCGATCCCCTGTCAGATTATTCCATAAATCACGTTATGTACATTGTGTACTTTAGTTGTTGTGTTGTCGATGTTACCGCGAATTATCATAACTCACGAGATGGACAAGAACGCCTAGTCCATTTATTTGGCAAGAGTAGGCACGTGAGCACTAGGGACGCTGCCGTTGCCAACGGTGTCAATAGAGGTCTGGCGGGCTCCAGTGAGGCCATACTGCGAGTTGATACCCTCAACACGGTGGGTGGAGTTGATGTTCTTGACGAGGGTGATCTGCCAGCAGGTAGCACCACCCTGGCGGGAAGTGATGGTGGAAGCAGCAAGGAAGTACTCCCAGATCTAAACAACGTTAGTCTCATGTTGATTAATCTTATGCAGGAAAAGGGAGCTTACGCGGAACCATCTCTTGCCGTACTTGGCTTCGACCTTCTCACGGTTGCCCATCCAGTTACGGTACCACCGCCAGAGAGTGGCAGAGTAGTGAACGCCAATCGTGTCAATGCCCTTGATCTCAAAACCGGAACCCTCGAGTTTGTCGACGACGAAGCCAAGGGGAGTGCTAGCGTCGGCACCGGGGAAAATGTACTTGTTCATGAAGAGACCCCAGATGAGATCCTCGTATTGCCAAGACTTGCGGAGACCAGCGATCTGTAGGAAGAAGACACCGTCGTCATCAAGCATATCGTAGACCTGGGACAAAAAGCTGGAGAAGTGGCGCACACCGACGTGCTCAGCCATCTCAAGACAGGTGATCTTCTTGTAGCCTCCAGAAACACGGGGAGCATCACGGTAGTCCAAGCAGTGGATGCGGCTTTGAGAGTCTTCGATACCGGCGTTGCGGAGACCATTGTTACCCCAGGCAGTCTGGTTACGACCAAGAGTGATACCAGTAACGTGAGCGCCATAGTGGACCGAAGCGTACTTGGCCAGGGTACCCCAGCCACAGCCAAGGTCAAGAACGGTGTCGCCAGGCTTAAGACCAATCTTCTCGCAAACAACGGCAAGCTTGTTGTCCTGGAGCTCCTCAAGAGTCTCCTCTCTGTTGATGTCACCGATCAGACCGGAGGTGTAGATCATGCGAGGGCCCAAGAACCAAGCGTAGAAGTCGTCACCTCTGTCGTAGTGATCACGGACCTGTTCCTCATCTTAAAAAAAGTCAGAAAAATTCTATTATCTTTCAACCGATATCTCTTACCCTGAGAACGAGAGTGGATCAGCAACTCGGGAATGAAACCAAACAGGAAGTGCTTGTAGAGACCCATGGTGAAGCGGAAGTTGGCCCAATCGTGACGGAACTCGAGACACTCAAGAGCATCGCCCTTGAAGTCAACCTCGCCATTGAAGTACTTCTCGTAGAAGACCTCCATAGGAATCTTGCTCTTGCCGCGGTAGGCAGCACGGTCATGCTCGCTGTGGAACTGAAGGTAGTGTTCGACAGGACGACCAGCGTACTTGGCCTTCTCATTCTTACGGGGAGAGACGGAGGAAGCAATAGTCCAGTAGGCCATCAGAATGGGGATCGTGGTAAAGATAGCGAAGAAGATGGTGGTGTAGAAGCCACCGCCAACCTGGCGGGCCAGGTACCACGGAATGAGCACGAGCAAAGAGAAGAGCAGGATGTTGGAGAAGCCATCGCTGCCAGGGGAGTCGGCGGGAACGGGAGCATTCTTGATAGCAGGGTACTGCAATGAGAAAATAAGCAGTTAGCTTCCGTGTACCTTGACGCACGAGTGTCAACTCCGTAGCCGTAGCTAAAACCGGAATCCAAGCCAGCGTGGACCAGGCCAATTGGAGACCACAGAGTATTCAGCAGCCAAAGAAAAAAAAAAAAAAAAAAAAAAAAAAAAACCAAAGCTTACCGTTGTCGTCCGCACACCACATGGGTCCGCGGGAGTGATGCAAGAAGCCGGAGGAGTCTCGATGAACTCGAACTCCTCAGGAGACTCGGAGTGAATCTTCTCCGTCGTCATGGCTGAGGTGACGATGAGAGAAGAAGGGAGGGGAGGGAGAGAGAAAGTGCCAGGAAACAATTGCAAAGGCTGACACGGTGTTGTTTTTAAATAGAGGGAGAAATATGAGACGAGGGAGAGGGACACGGAACAGGAACCAGTTCCAGGGGCGGTGAGCCGCGGCGATCCCGTGCCAGCTCCGACTTCCAGTATATCGCTTCCAACTTTCGATCATTAGCCAGCGCAACACATATAATTCTCTTTTCAGAGAAAGCCCTCAGTATGACAGCCAAGATTGCTTGCATTGCCGTTATCGGGAAAGCCGTATGATATCATCATCCCTGCAACAGAAAGATCACTGCTAACTGTTAAAGGATAACCCTCTCCACATCTCACTATTTCCTCCTTATACAGACTCAACTATTGAATTCAACTTCTTATTAAATTCATGTCTTGATATATTTGACATCCATCAGAAGCAGACTGCCATCAGCCAAGACCTGGGCCTATTACATGCAGTCGATGAAAGATTAGCAGCCTACGGTTGGTTAACAACCACCGGCGTCAAATTCCTGGTAGTGGTGGATTTAATGGGGCAACAAGTACCTATTGGCGCAGAAAAATCCAAAGGTGCTGGCGCTGCCATGAGTGGGTTAAGAGATGGCAACCTCAAACCAGTATGTCCAAACTTGCGACTCTAGAGTTGGCGGACGGAGTCGTGATACTTTACCATATTCTAGAAGCTATGAGTATTTGATTAACGGACTTATCCAGGCCTTTCACGCCCTCCAAACTGCCTACATCCAACTCTTGCAAAACCCGTTCTACTCCCCTGATGATCACCTTCCTCTAGTCAAGAATGCGGCTGTACCAACCTCGACATCTCAGGAGATCACAAATAAAAAGTTTATCAACGAGGTAAAGAGAATTGGTGAATCCTGGGCCCCTGGTATGGTTGCAGTCTGAGGAGCTGGTGGTTTCGTTGAATGGTCGAAGAATCCCAGTGTTTTCGGCGTTCGGGGGATGGACAAAGTTTATGGAGTATTGGTTGTATGCATATAAATGATCAAACTGCGGTTTACGTATGGACAAGTTCTAGTTGATGGCTACCAAAGTACTTTCTTTAGATTACCTACATCGCGTTATTCAAGTCTTTACTGTCCTCTACATAGTACGGAGTACAAATGCGATTGTCCAGAGTGAACCGTCCGTGCCACGGTTCCTCGGAATGGAGTCACACGGTTGCTATGGAGTCCCTGAAACAGAACAGCTTGCGAGTTCTAATAATAACATTCTACAGTTGAATATTCCGGAATAATATCTCCACAACAAATTGCCCGTGAAATATAATTGACTGCTTATTCGTACCTAATACGTAGTAGTTATCGTTCGCCATGCTGATACCAAAATAGTGATACACAAAATTCCCTTGATGAAGATCATAAGCCAATAATCATTTGTCAAAAAAAGATAAACGCCATAGGTCCTGTCCCGTCGACACGCATGATTACCACCCAAACCATAAACTGAAAAAAAAAAGAAAAGAAAAGAAAAAAGAAAAAAGAAAAAAATCAGAAGAACCATGTAAGAAAGGATACCGATCCAAAGTCGCTTAGAATGCCATAGAAAGTTTTGTCGCTTGATCATAGCGCTAACTGGAAGTTAAGCGCCTCGTCATCCTCGTCGAAGGTAGGAAGGGGCTCCGGGATGGTTTTCGCCTGGCTCTGTTCATCATCGAAGCAACCGGCAGCTTTGCAGCGGAGCCACATCTCTGATCCGAAAGGCGGCGTTCCGTAGAGCTGCATATACGTATCGGGGGACAAAATGTTCTTGGGTGCTGGCTGTTTCGCAGCGGTCGACGGCTTACCATGCAGTCTTGTGGAGACTTCTCTGCCTTTGGAGTAGCCAACGGTAGTCTTGGAGTTTGCGACAGCAGCACTATGGCGCATAGGAGACGGGTTTGCGGGAGCCCTGGGCTTTCTCATTGTATGAATGGACGAACTGATTCGGGGTCGGGACGCAGCTCTAGTTCGTGGGTATGAAGGTTCGGGAGCTGACAATGCTGCCGCTGCATCCCGGGCTCGTAGAGTCGAAACGTTGCTGTATTTGACTTTTGGGGTAGGAACCTTCACTCGACGGGGTTCAATGCGGCGTTTCGATGCATCCTTCATGGGATCCATTTCGTTGGCTTCCTCAAATCCAATACTGTCGATTTGCTTAAGAATCATTTCGTCCATCATCTTGTCCTGGGCGATCGAAGCTTCCTTGTACTTTCGTTCCCGCTTCGTAAGCCCGTCGCTTCCAATCTCGTTACCACTGTAGGTGCTCTCCAACCCACGCGCGAGGTTCTCCGGTCTGAACTGAGGGAAAGTTGTGTCGTATATAATGTCGCCCGGGAGGTCCGGGAGCTCTGTACGCAGCCGAGAGTCAGCGGCTAATCGGATAATAATTTATAATTATAATCTCACCTTTAGGCTTGGGCGGCATATATTCAATATCTGGCACATCATCCTGGATTGACTTTGTTGCTGTTTCAGGCTCACTCTGCTGTAGCAAGGGAGAAATTTTCTTCACTTTCTGAGTCGACGTCCTCCTGTTGGTTCTCTCGGGCTTGTTCGTGCCAATAGGTGCTGGGGTCTTTGCTTTGGCATTGGTCGTTTTCATGCCCAGCGGCGCCCGTTGACGGTTCTCTGCTATATCCTCAGTCAATACCATGATTCCCCATTGCCTTCAGAAGTGCCCTTACGCAGAGGAGTAACAAACGCATCCCTGGCCGGCTTCAAGTTCTCATTTCCCCGTCCATTTGCCTTCACAGTCTTCTTTCCAAAAGCCAACAGTCCATTCTCGTCGTTCAGTGGGACTTTGAACGGGGTCTTGGGAGCTCGTGCGCCAGGAGTCTTTGTGCCTTGATTCAACGGCTTTCCAGCAGCCACGGTCTGGTGGGCATGCACCAAATTCTCCTGGTCTCGCACAGCCAGCATGGTGGATTATCGAACAAACGGGAATGGGCGATCGTGACTTATAGTATTGGTGGGTTCGCTTTGAGGGGAGGGGGTCGTAACCAATGGATCGAATGTCTCTGGGTGTAGACTCGAAAGTGTCGGAGTGGGAACGGGTCGAAATATTGATTGCAATCGCTAGTGGCTTTTATCGGTGGCCGGTGTGCTGGAGCTGGAGTACATTGTCTGAAGTATAGTCGAAGAAGGTGCAGCACTTTTGAGAGGGTGTTTTCTTTCCCAGCGGCCGTCGTTGCCCGTGGAGACAAAAACAAGGCGATCCTTTGGTAAGAGCCGCTAGGAGGAGCCATGGGACCAACGGGGACGTATGGTAACGGTATTACCACCCCCTCCCCTTAGAAAATAGGAGAAGCCAGACACTATCGACCATTCAGCCACTGCAGTCAACCACACCGCCTTGCAAAGGGAGCGGACACTAGTACGGTATTTAATACAGCCTCCCATCCCTTCGTCCAATCCCTCCACGTTGACAGCTTTCCCTTTCTTATTCTACTCCGTCCCGTACTTGTACACTGGTTTGTCGCTGAGCGAAGGCCGGACATTATCCATCACTGCCATCTAAACTTTTCCTTGTTGATCGCCTATTTGCACCACATACATATTCCTCCCTTCTTGCAGATAAACCTTCTTTTACTCCCGCAAAAATGGATAAGATCAAGGAGGTGAGTCGCTGCATTCCCCCCTGCTCGGCGGGGTAGCTGTGAGCAGCCCCGATGCACATGCACAACTTTCCTCTTGCACCATTTCCCGAAATCTCATTATGGGAAGAGCAGGTTTGCTCAGGGAAGTCAAGATGGAGCCGAAGTTTACTCCTGGATAATTATAAACGATGAAAACGGGATGCTGACGGGTAGTTGTGTCTAGAGAATGAACACCCTCCGCCTGGAGGCCGAAGACGCCCAGGAGAAGGTCGAGGAGCTCAAGGCCAAGGTTAGAACGATGGAGCAGGAGAACTTGGCCAAGGAGCAGGAAATCACATCCCTCAACCACCGGAACCAACTCCTGGAGGGTGAGGTTGAGAAGATGGAGACTACGCTCAAGGAGGCCAAGGATGCCGCCAACCAGAGTGCTCAGCATGACACTCAGAATGAGGCTTTGCAGAGACGCCTGCAGATCTTGGAAGAAGAGGCTGAAGAGGCTGACCGGAATTTGCGGGAGACAAATGAAAAGTATGCTTTATCTCTGATACCGATAATCTTCCTCACCCTACCCATGTTTTCCCCTTGCTTTCCTGCCGCATGTCGACGCATTTACTAACCCTGTTCTCTCACACAGACTCCGCCAAACCGACGTCAAGGCTGGTCACTACGAACGCAAGGTGCAGGCGCTCGAGGCTTCTCGTGACCAGTGGGAGAGCAAGTACGAGGAGATGGCGAAGAAGCATGCCGAATTGCAGAAGGACCTGCACGACCTCGAGGTCTCCATCAGCAACGTCTAAGAACGGATCTGGGTACGGGCGTAAGAGTGTCGGGAGATGCGGGACTCAGCCTCTTTTTTCATCAAATATACACTTTTATTCTCTTGTTCTCCTTTTCTTTTCTCGTGTGTGCATTTTACAGCTTGTTCATTAGCCTCGTGTGTGTTGGCGGAGGATAATCAATTCTCGCCGTTAAAGTTGGGGCATAATCATTCTTATGCAACTTGCCCCATCTTCCCACGGATTGTTCCCCTCCTGGTCTTGTGAGCCTGACACTTCTGTGTTTTCTTTTATAGGGTACATATAGTATATCTAATCAAGCTTTGTGGCGCTGAATATAGAATCAGTATAAGCACAACTTTCTTCATGGCATGGTATCGACAGGTTCTTCTGGTGGTATCATTATTCTTCGCCGCGTCGCCCTCTTGCCTTTCTGGCCTTGGAATACCGTTGCTTCGCCTGGTTGAGCTTTCGTTCCTCCTTGCTTTCGTAACGGAACTTCTTTTTTTTCTTGGGTTTATCCGTCTGCGGTCTCTTCTTTGGGTCTTTCGAATTGGCGTCCTCGGGCGTCTGCTGTGCCTTTTTATCCTCGTCTTGGTCTAATTCGTCATCTGACTGTTCTTGCGTCTCGTACTTGAGCAGGCCTTCTCTTGACGGATCCATCTCCTCTACCGTTACAGTAGTGTATTTATCCTCGTCGATGTATTCGGCCTCGTAGTCCACAGCGGGTGGCTCCGCAAAACCCTCCCATTCCTCATCCTCGCCCTCATTGCCCTCGTTCCCGGAATCATTTGAGTCATTCTCGTTTTCTTCAATGAGCATTTTGAGTTGTCGTTGATGCTCTTCAAACGCCCGTTCGTATTCCGCTTTCCGCTCTTCCCGGACCTGTACACATTGCATTGCAATTAGTTCCTTTGTTCTTTCCATTCATCGACCAGAAAGCTTCGTACCCTTTTCCGGTAATCTATCCGTTCTTCCCGTGCCCGCTTCTCTGCGACCTCTTGTGCATGTTTCACGCGCTGCAGCCTTCGTTTGCGAAAGCCTGTGAGGAATTGTTGTCGGGCGTCAAAGTCGAAGTTGATTTCTTCAGGTTGATTCGCTACCTTGCGCTTTTTGTTTAGCCCCATATTGCTTTATGCTATTAATTGAAATATAAAGAAAGACGCGAAATAAATCTGGTAGATCTCCGTAAAAAAAGCAGAAATTGCCTGACGGGTCCGCGATTGGCTCGACCGCCTCCGAGCGGTGAATATCCACCTGGCGCCAACATCATCGGAGCTGGTCCCGGAACCATCGAACGACGGACAGTATCCAAAGGACTCATATATCGACATTCTCTTGACAATATGCATCTGAGCGGATTAGGCCTGCTCGCGCTGGGAGCAGCAACGGCTAGCGCGTTCCGCGATACCTCGCCCTTCTTCCTGGCATCGACTTCAGAGTACGTCGCGGAGCGAATCCCCTGCGGGTTAGAGCTTAGCTTTGAGTGACTGACGGCAATAAAATTAATTAGGATCCTTTTACCGTCGTCGAATCTCGCACTGTCTACCTCGTTGCTGAACGATCTCGGATCGCATTTGAACTCCTGCCCATCGGACTATTATGTCGTCGCTTACCAGCCGGGGGTGCATAGCACTGATTTCGCGACTCGCAAGTCGGCCCCTCGTCTCGGAGCAAAGATGACCGGCAAGGATAATGCGATTCGGTCGACTTCGTCGGTTCATGAGGTTTCTGGTGTGGTGGATGCAAAGGAGGTTCAGAATATGATCGGAAATGCTTGTGGGGCGGAGACTACCGTTATTGATGCTTCGAGTGAGTGGACGTTCATCGGGGGGATGATAGTGGATTGGTACTGATAGTGGCGTAGCTGGTTCTTACCCTTCGTATTTTGGCGACGCTCCGCACGTTATCGCTATTAACTTCCCTATGCTTTCTCTGGGCCCTGACCGGGCACAGCAGCTTTCTGATAACGGTTCGTGCGGTTACAATGGCGATATATTCTGTGCTGATACTGATGGGTACTAGATGGCTTCCTTTCCGACATTATCGATCGTATTCCCTCGTCGAAGTACACGCTTCTCTACGTGACGTCGCCGCGGGAATTCGAGGACACCGTCTACAGACCCGATGACGAATCCTACCAGGAGCCCCTTCGCACAGAATTGAAGCGGGACTATTCGGACTACACAAAGCAGGATTCGTCTAAAAAGACCCTCTTCCGGGAGTATCAGTACCTCACTCCAGGTATGTTTCTAAAGTCATTTCTGAAAGGTCTTATACTGATTGTGCATAGGCCTGTTCATGGGCTTCTTTGCTGTTTTCGTCTGCATTATGATCCTGTATGTCGGAATCCAGGCCCTCTTGAGCTTGGAAGTTCCTTATGCGGCTTTCGAGAAGGATACTTTCTCCGCTGTGCAGAGGAAGCAGCAGTGATTTGGTCTTTTAAGTGTTTATGATTTTTTGCGTATGCCTGCGTTTTTGCCCAATTCGGTTATTTGATTGCTTGTTATGTACTGTATGATATACTATAACCTGATGCATGACCATAACATCTTCAAATGTACCTGTAGATATCACGTGTTGTAGCCTCAGGCAGTAATATATCACGGGGCAACCAACCGGTCAAACAATCACCTCGTCGCATCGTCGCATTTGCAACACCACGTTTCTTATCTGGCTTATACTGTTGATATGGAGTAATCCGTTTGCTATCGATTGAATCCGAGGTATAACATCCTCCACGTTTTACCATTATTGGTGCGCTATCGCCCTGCACCTTAGTGCTTATTTGTTGATGATCTGTTTGAGCCCAATCGTGCATGAATTGTCAAGCACCATCCTCCATATCGGGTTTCGACGCATGCTTATGCACAACCCGAGGATTCTCGAGTCACACTATCTGATTCGAACCTGGCCGTTATCTATAGAGTTGGATAAGGTCATCGCAAATGCTCTTCTGTTTACTCCGCCATTGAGAGACATACATACCATACCACGTCCACACCACTACGACATGAGACTATCACTGGTGGGGCGCAGAACATCCAGCGCACTACTACTTTTCCTAGCCATTGCCTTGCTAGCCAAGCTATCAGCAGCCCAAGACACAACAGACGCCAACGATGCCGCAACCACCGACGATGCCACCGCAACAGCGACATCCGCCGAAACAACAGATACAGGAACAAGCACCACCGACGCCTCGACTTCGTCTTCGACCGACTCCTCAACGACATCATCCTCAAGCTCAACGAGCAGCAGTTACCCCACCGTAACCGTCCCACCAACAGCAGGTGCGCCCTACATGCAAACATCTAGCACCCCGGAGGGGGCTGTCTTCATTGCTGTTGGTGCGGTGTTGGGATTTCTAGGACTCGCGGTCCTGGCATGGCGCGGGTTGGTTGCGTGGTCTGTGAATCGGTCTGTTCGGCAGCAGGCTGCTGCGATGCAGTCGTCTGAGAAGAGGGGGTTGTTGAGAAGTAGGAGGAGGAGGTCATCCGCACGGTCGAAGTCGAGGTCCAGATCCAGATCGGGATCGATGCCTAGAGGGCAATTGCCGAGTGGTATTCCGGATAACGCGCCTGCTGGAAATGCAACTGGGGGAGAATACGATCGTCACCACCACCGCCGTCGAAGCGGAAGCGGAAGTCGTGGACCCCCAAGAATGAGAGAAGTTCCGGGCTCAAGCAACGCGCTATTCTTCTCCCCAACCGCTGGAGCAAGCATGCACAGTGGGAAACGGTCGAGCCAGCACCACTCAGGCTACGGCTATGGCCACGGCTACGGCACTGCAAGCACTAGCACACCCCGTGCAAGCACCGGCCCAATCCCAACAAGTGCAAGTCTAAGCGCAAGCGAACGATACCAACCACCTTACAAAGGAAAACGTGCATACCCCCCTCCACCGCGCGCGCGGAAAATCCCAATAGTCAGCCCGCCGGTTTCGCCGAATCCACGTCTTGCGGGTGATGCTGGTGGCTACACGGGTTTGGGTCATTCAAGATCGTTGTCTGGCGATAGTATGTCGAGTGGTAGTTTGAATCCGAACCAGGTGTCGCCGCCGCAGGGGAGGGCGCCGAGTGAGTATTTGGAAGATTTGTTTGATGGCCATGCGAGGCCGGGACCGGATTGGAATCGAAGGTGATGTTGATATTGAGGGATTGGTTATGATATATGAAAGTCATGTCTATTTTAATGCAGCGTTAAGTATGACGAGGATGACAATAATGAGTATGTACTGGTCCATGATCTTGAATGCTATGCTTTCAATGAAATTTAATGACTAGCAACTATTCTGACAGACTACCAATACCGCATCAGAGCACGATTACCCACAGTAAAAGAAAAAAAAAACATAGAAAACTATTGCCCAATTTTATATGCATAAGCCACGCACTACTCCACTGCCCTAAACAAACATATCTTGAAAATTTCAGTCATCTCAAAGGAAGAATATAAAGAGACATATAAGAAAGAAATGATAAAAAGAAAAGCCAGACCTAATATTTAACAGAAGAGAATATAATATGGCGAATCAGCAAACGATAAAGTATAAAGAAAAAGTCGTTGAATAGGCGGATCAGATCATACACCGATGAGATTTAATCTGCATCCAATTTACCGGTGAATTCGCCAAGGAGAATATCGTCGGGGGCTGGACCGCGATGGCTTCGCACTGTGGGGCCAAACCGTTAGTAAACAGAAGCGCAAGAAAGACCGCTAATACCACGTTGAAACAACGGGCAAAAATGCGGCCAAGAAACAAAGAGGGCAAGACTTACCCCATTCGGCCTCTACCCGAAAGAAAACCCACATCCATCGCCGTGCAACTTCGAGAAACATGAGGACAAAGAGGCCAGATTCCCGCTCGGTGAGCCACAACAAACCCGGCACGAATTTGGAAGCCCACGAGAAGCGAAGAACCAGGTCAATGAGAATTGCATAGCGGTATAGTCGGTCAGAGGAGAAGTAACGGTGGCGCCGCAGTCCATACGGGTATTCCGATGTGTCACGCGACCCGGTTAAGAGTGTCAAATCCCAATCTTTGGTCACATCCCACCAGAATGTGTAGGTAGAGTTGATAATGGTGCAGATGAGTCTGCTAGGTGTTAGCAAAGGTTTCCTCTTCTTCTTCTTTTTTTTATAAAAAAAAAAAAAAGAAAGTAGAGTCAAGTAGCATACAATAGCCGAGCCAAATCCATCTCGCTATATCCATAGAACACCAAAGGACTGTAATTCCTCAACTTGGCACTAAGATAAATGACCGGAAATGCAGTAGCGTACTTCAACGCGTTTGCCAAGTGTTGGAAGCCTCTGTTCTCCCTCGTCGCACCAGCACGACGGACGCGGATGTATTCAATCAAACATTGTCGAAACCGGATAATGCTGGGAATGGCGATGATGATGGGCACGATGTAGTCGTGTCCGCAGGTACGATTCGGCTTCGACGTGCTCGAAATCCCCCGCGCGAAGAACATGCAAAAGGTCACATATAGATCCGCAATGACCTTGGCGTAACTGGTCAAGGCATCCGCCAGGAGAATGTCTCCAAACTTGCCATCCTGGGCCTCCGCGAGTCCTCCAATACTAATTCGTCTCAGCGACAGAAGAAAATGGCGTCTCCCAGCCTTGCAGACGCGATTGAACGGCAGCGCTATGATCACAAAGAAGCTCACGATGTATGCCTGCGGGATGAAATCCAACAGCTCAACGAGGTGAGCAGACCCATGGGTGGCCACCCAGAATATAAGGAGAGTGATGACGAGAGGGAGAGTCAAGAGTCTTGCGAGACGGTAGGCGGAGGAGTGGTGAGGGGGTTGTTGAGGGGATTGACGGGCAGGGTATCGGATCAGCGCAGGGACATCCTACAGAGAAAACAAGTCAATCTTAATTCAATTGCATGACCCATTAGGTACGGATGTCGGATAAACCCACGATGTTCGCTTTTCGGAGGTACTGGAGATTGACACCCCAGCCCCAGAAACCTGGCCATCACGACAGATAATCAATAAGGCTGAACATCGAAAATCGGACACTGCCAAGAGTAGACACACGTACCGGCCACCAGTATCACCGCGACACGATAGGGAAAAGGAAGGAAGAGACTGAAATCATCCAATTGAGCATGTTGATCAGGGCCCATATTCCATTGACGGTGCGGAGCTGAAGAACAGCGCCGAGATAGGGGGAGAAGGAAGGAGGGAAAGGAAGAAATGGAGACGTGAAGAGAAGAAAAATCCGGCAAAAAAATCCCCAAAGAAGAAAAAGAGAAGAAAAAAAAAATGAAAAGCAACAGAACAATGGCAAAAGAGCGACTAGGGGTGAGTGGTGGCACTGGGAATCACAACCATTGCAGTCGTGAAGCTTCAGGGACAAGTCGGGGTTTCACGCTGTCTTTGGGACCCTTTCCTGTTGCGGTTAGCGGGTCTGGACTCTGTGCCATTTTTGGATCGGGGTTTCCAACGTGATGCGCGGTCAGGTGACCAGTCACGGGATATATTGCCGAGGCATCTTAGACCGCTGGCGATGCGGTCACGGTGAGGAGGACAGAGACAATGATATGATCTTGAAGGTATAATATTATAATACTCTATGCGCGAGCTTCTCTCCGGTTGAGCAAAAAATGGCAGACGAAGACTTTTCCACGATTCCCACCTCTCCCTCGGCCCATTTCTACCCGTTCGCAACATCTCCGGACATTATCCGCTCTCATGAGAAGGATGGCTTTATTACAGGGAGTTTGATCAATCAAGCCCAGAACATTGCCCGTTCACTCCGTGGAGCCCGGTTCGCTCACGCTCATTCCGATTCCATCAAGCACCTGACAGAGATTCTGTATTTCTCGTTAACGACCTTGATCGGTAACCGAACACTGGGGGAGGAATACTGCGACCTCGTTCAGCTAGAGGATGACACCCTTCAACTCCCATCGACCATCCGCAGAGCGGGATACATTCTGAGCAGTATCGTGGTCCCCTGGGTTCTCCAGCGTATCCTTCCCGCTTTTCGACGGCGGTTACGCGCGAAGCTGGAACGGAGTGTTGCCCGGCAACAATTCAAAGCTCAACAGGCGGCTGCGCAGCAGCCAGTGCTGCCCGGAAAGGAAAAGGGGAAGCGGGAGAAACAGCCTTTGATTACGAAGTTGAGGGTTCAGAAGTACATTCTCGAGCATCTCGATTCGATAACCTCGCTCTCGCCTGTTTACGCTCTTAGCATCGCGACCTTCTACTTCACCGGCTCGTATTACCACCTCTCTAAGAGGTTCTGGAATCTCCGCTACGTGTTCACCAAGAAACTCGACGAGAATGAGCAACGCGTTGGCTATGAAGTCCTGGGTGTTCTACTCATCCTACAGATCGCCGTGCATGGTGTCTCTCACGTCAGGAAGGTCACCGCTAGCCTGAAGCAGCAGCAAGAAAACCCGGAGCTGGAGTTTGAGATGCTGGAGTCTACTGAAAAACGAGACGGTTCTGCAATCCCCTCAATTGAGAGTCCTTCCCTTCCGAACCTCCCTGCGTCTATGCCTCGGTATGACCTGGGCGAGGATGCGGATGCCGTTCCCTGGATCCCACCAGGTCAGCAAAGCAGGTGCACGTTGTGTTTGGAACTCTTCAAGGATCCCAGTGTCACGACCTGTGGACATGTTTTCTGCTGGACTTGCGTGAGGGACTGGGTGCGTGAGAAGCCTGAGTGTCCTCTTTGTCGACAGGACGTGATTCTTTCCAAGGTTCTCCCTCTGAGAGGGTAGATCCTGTGCAATGTTTGTTTCTCGTGATTGGTCTTGGAAAGTCAGCCCCGTATATTCACTTGACCATTTATACCCCGATATTTGTGACATAAAGCAATGTATTTCGAATGTAGCTTAATTAGATGAGTCCAGATGTAGATAATCTCATAATCATCGATCAGTTTTCTGAAATTCGTATGTCCAATGTAATGCAGGGTATCTGGTATCTGAGCATGCCAATCTAGTCTCAGTGATATGCAAAAAGAGAGCAATGCTATAAAACGCCACAAATCTCCAAAATCTCATATACAGCTTCCCATATCCATATCCAGCACAACAGGGACCTATATGGCATTTCTATCGGCGTCTGGGTTGTTAGTACCATCGAGCTCTGCGGCTGCTTCCTCTTCGGCCGCGATCGCCTTTTGCGTTTTCTCCGCAAGGCGAATTGGCAAATCCAATTCCGCATGTGCCGGTCGTGGAGGCACAGGGATCATCTCTTGTCGTTTACTATCCATAACTTTGTACAAGCAGATGCAGGCATACGGGTCATTCGCAGCATACTGAACTTGATCATAGTTCAAAGGACGAGTCCAGTCACTGCATCGTACTTCAGCATCTTTCAACAAAGGCAGTCCAAAATGCTCCTCGACCTGGTCGTTGAGGTTGACCAGGCGCTTGTTGACAAGTTTCGGCTGCGATTGGGAATATTTGATTAGTCTGTGCAGATGGCTGAGTTCGAAAATGCCTCGGGCGTTGACCCCGAGGTATCTGCGTAGGCGTGTAAAATCTGCTTTGATGTGAACACCGACTTTTGTGACATTGGGTGATTCTATAATCTGGCGTAGTGAAGGCGCAATAAAATGTTTGGGGTCCGTTCCTATGAAGGAGGCAACGTGGAACAGCGCGACTCGCTTTTCGTTTGCGATTTGGATCATGGAGACATTATCTTTGATGCCGTCGGCATATGTGGCTGAGGCCTTCCATTCCATGTCGAATCCTATTACTTTGTCGCCCAGAAAGTACTGAGCCACGTCTTCCATCGTTCGGAGACTTCTGCAGTAGTGTATTATAATTGGATTTCCGCCTGGAGCTTTGTGCAAATGATGACTCCAGTACTTTGTTGCAGGAGGTTTAGGTGTGATCGGGTTCGTAGTGACTCGCTGTCGCGCCACGGTCCCCGTCGTGACAGTCTGTTTTGTCTGATTTCTGTACACGGAAGACGTGGTTTGCGTGATTTTATGAGTCCCTAAAGACTCAGAAGGGGGTCCATTCCCATGTTCAGCAACTGAGAATGTAGCCGATCCCGTGCTATATGATCTTTTCATAGGTTGAAAAGCGTTTATGTTTCTTCCATTTATAACAATTGGAAGAGTACGCGGACTGGTTGTGAAATGACCCCCAACAGGCCCCTTGCTCAACACAGCAGAACTTCGACATGTTGGTCCAATTGTCCAGCTGCCGTATGGTCTTCCCGACGCAAGCAAATTCGCATTTTGAACCCTTGAGGCATTGAATAAGACCTTCCCATTCCATGGCTTCATAACGTTTACCGATCGATAGAAGCGCATTATATCTGGACCTTGTTGCCCTGAAGATCCTAGCTGATCGCAAGTAGGTAGGAGATATCAATAGTTCCTCGACCCGGCCATGTGTTTCTCGTTAATGGACAAAGCCATAAAAGTATCGCTGATTTCCGGGGCTGTATACAGATCGGCTATTCAAGTGGACATAAGGACATAGGGAAACCAAGAAATAACCAATTTTCCAATTTACAACAAATATAAAGCACCCCTACCGCTAGCAGGAACAGTACCTGAGAGATGTACTCGGAGTAAGCGTACAATTCATGTGGAGTGATCGAGCGGTAAATAGCGCTAGACTAGATTTGGACTAAACACCGGTGTCGGATAAAAAGATCAACCGGACGTACGCCAAGATGCCCGATGGGACATTGAGGGACCGCAACAGCTTTATATTGCGTTTTGTCCAAGCATATCAGTCGACGCCTATTATCAGGATAGATAATTGCAGATTATTGAAGGTTCAATACACTTCAGGCAAGATGGCGTCGCAACTGCTTCCTTTGGGTTCGTGTAAATATCTGATATCCGCGAACATTGCCGCTGACCTGATGCAATAGAGTTGATTGACAAGTGTGTCGGCTCAAGAATCTGGGTTGTTATGAAGGGTGACAAGGGTGTGTAATCTCACCCTTTAGCGGAATTGTCGCGAAATTAAAACGCTGTGAACTAATGACCGCACAGAGTTCTCTGGGACATTGCTCGGATTCGATGACTACGTCAGTAAGTCGCCTTTTTCGTTTCTTATGAGGGATGACCATTTACTGATGCTCTGCTAGACATGGTGCTGGAAGATGTGACTGAATTGTAAGACTCTTTTGAGATGGCTCCATCTTTATCGTATATGACTGCGAGCTTGAATTAATATGGGATAGTGATTACGCCGGTGGCAAATCCCAGCTTCCCAAGATCTTGCTGAACGGGAACAATATCTGCATGGTATGATTAACTATTATGTTTTTATACACCCAGAAAGCTAACTTGTCTGTCTAGTTGATCCCCGGAGGAGAAGGGCCAGGCGCCTAAAGTCATGTTTCATCTTAATTGTCGACTATGACTAAAAGAACGTTGCTGGTGATGATTGAACGACTTCATATAGAGAAGCTATAATGACAGATCAATTGTATTTTGTTACGATTCGTTAAAGTACCCCGGATAAGCTTAAGTGGTCTCTCCACATAGGAAATGCGCGAGGCAGATTCCCATATTGACTCATTTGCTAGCGAAAAGCCTTTCAAAAGCATGCATACTACCGGGTAATTGCGTCTCCCCTTTCTCAGAGAAGTGATAGAGCTGCGAAGGCGACTGTTGGGGTAAATAAAAGAGACAGACACATGCACATCTTGAATCTCGGCTAGTAGGCAGCTGTCATAGTGTTAAAAGGAGAGAGCCTCATTGGGTCTATGAGAGCCACTTGCTTATGCCGTTTACCTCCCATCCCACTACTGGCCTTCAATGCATCTTTTGCTTTATGCATCCCCGGGACGGACGAAGTATACCATACTCCGTGTTACTCTGACCGGAGTACGCCGGGATGCATACAGAGTAGCACAGCTCTGAGTATCTGAGAACAGACCGTGTGGCGCGCACGAGCCCTACCTACCAGACTCGTGGCTAAGTCTCCTCCATTCGCTTGAATCCCTCCATACAAAGTACTTTATATTTCTTCCAATGAAACCACTAAGAACGCTCTTATCTTGAGCACGGGAACGTAGTCAGCATATACGCGATCTGATTGGCTAAAATTTATGTACGGAGGTATCAAGCGGGGACAGATACCCGACTGGGACTAGTCCGCCACTACGACTGATAACCAACAGTGCCATCAGAGGCATACAGGTACATACCCCTAGTTTATTCTCGCATATCATGCTGTTTGATAGCAGCTAAAGCCAACCAGAGTCATTAGTCATGATACTGGTTACTGGCGAAAGCTGAAGCACTGATAAGCAGCGTTTTGAGAGGATCTATACGAGCGATAATGATATACTTCGATCATACAACGTGGAACCATGCGCGTGACACTTGCATGGCTCTTTGCAGGCAGGCTTTGGGATAAACCGTAAATTAGTTTTGATATGGCTGGTCGCGTAGCCGGCTCGTTTATATTAGAGAGATGATTGGGCTACAAGTGTACCGAGGCAGCTGTGCGAGGAAAACCCCCGTACAGGTCGCTGTGCTCTCACCAATTACCGTTGTTTCTATATTTTCTCCCATATACTCAACGGCTTGGTACGGCTCTTGGTGCTCTCAATGTGGTAATTGCCCGGGCAGAGGCGAGGTTGTCTATGAGACAATTCCTTAGTTTCTCATGAGGACTGTGCTTGGTTCAGATGAAATGCAACCCGAAGCGTTATTATCATTGCTAATATCCCGGTGAAAGGAGGCGAAACATGATACGATATAGTTGTTGATGATAATAATGCGTTATCTCCCGCGACTGGTCGGCCATACTTATACCGGCATTTCCCCGTCACACATCTTCATTTCTTTTTCATTGATTTATTCATTATCACTACTATTAATTATTTACTTCTTTCTTCTAACATTTTTACATTTAAAATATTGGGTTTATTGCAAACAAAAAGCGTTGTCAAACCTCCAGTCGTATTGTCCATGCTCAAGCCCTGAACCGTCTACCCCACAACATCACATTGCACCATGGAGAAAGATGCGATAGAGCCAAAGACAATCCGAGCAGGGTCCGGTGATCCGCCTCCAAGCTATGGCGAGTCAGAGTCTATTCAAGAAAATCTCGGCCAACGGTTTTTGGACAGCTTCAAGCGAAACCTTAATGCGCAAATCATCCACCAACCCCCGGCAAATGGCAGCAATGTTGACCCTGAACATGCTGCTCAAAACACAGCAAACTCACCTCTAGAGCGTCGTCTCAAGGGTCGCCACATGCAAATGATAGCGCTCGGGGGGAGTATTGGTCTGTCCATGAAGACAATAATGAATATGTCTTTTGATGCATTGACTGACTTATTTTCTTAGGTACCGGCCTATTTGTCGGTTCTGGAAACGTTCTGTCTACTGGCGGCCCGGCTTCCGTCCTTATTGCCTACGGGTTAATAGGCGTCATGTTATACTGCACCGTTCACGCCTTGGGTGAGATGGCTGTCCTCTTTCCTGTTGCGGGATCGTTCGCAAGTTATTCTACTCGATTTATCGACGGATCATGGGGCTTCGCGATGGGATGGAACTATGCCATGCAGGTATGCGGAACATACAATTTTATCCCATGGTGAAGACCTGTGGCGATCATAGTTCCACGCTATTGAAGACCCAGCTCCTCTGCTTGTACAAAAACTAATCCTAATTCTTTAGTGGCTCATTGTCCTCCCCCTAGAAATCGTTGCTGCTTCAATTACCATCGACTACTGGGATTCGAACATTTCGAACGCTGCCTGGGTTGCGATATTCTGGGTAATGATAGTGGTCATCAACATGTTTGGCGTCAAGGGATACGGTGAGGCGGAGTTTGTCTTCTCAATGATCAAGGTTATTGCTGTGCTTGGCTTCATGTAAGTATACCCTCTTTTCGCCATTTTGAGTCCATGAACTGTGCTCATAAGCGAATTAGCATCCTTGGTATTATCCTCAACTGCGGCGGAGGCCCGAAAGGTGGCTATATCGGCGGGAGATATTGGCATGATCCAGGCGCATTTCACAATGGCTTCAAGGGTCTTTGCAGTGTATTCGTCAATGCTGCATTCGCATTTGCTGGTACTGAGCTGGTTGGCCTTGCTGCAGCCGAAGCTGCGAATCCCCGGAAGAGCCTGCCAACGGCGATTAAGCAGGTGTTTTGGCGTATCTTGCTTTTTTATCTCGTCTCCCTCACCCTAATCGGACTTTTGGTCCCGTATAACGATAATCAATTGACGTCAGGGAGTTCCTCTGCGGATGCTAGGGCATCCCCTTTTGTGATTGCCATCAAGAACGCTGGCATTTCTGGTCTCGATTCTGTCATGAATGTTGTGATCATGATTGCCGTCTTGTCTGTGGGTAACTCATCTGTTTATGGGTCATCACGAACCCTAGCCGCTTTGGCTGAACAGGGTCAAGCACCTAAAATCCTGGCCTATATCGACCGCAAAGGCCGCCCCCTTGTTGCACAAGGTGTTGCATCAGTCTTAGGGCTCCTCGCATTCCTGGCAGCATCCGATAAGCAAGAAGACGCCTTCAACTGGATGCTGGCCATTTCTGGTCTCTCATCTATCTTTACCTGGGGTTCCATCTGTCTGGCTCATATCCGCTTCCGCCGCGGCTGGAAGGCCCAGGGATATAGCCTAGACGAGCTGCCATTCCGCTCTCAGCCAGGCGTAATTGGATCCTGGGTGGGGTTTATCTTCAACTGTCTTGTGCTCGTTGCGCAATTCTGGGTTGGATTTGCCCCTGTTGACTACGGAGAGATGACTGCGTCTGGAAGAGTTGAGAGTTTCTTCCAGAGCTATTTGGCTGCTCCAGTTGTCATAGCCTTTTATATCCTATATAAGATCTACACTCGGTCTCCATTTATGCGTGCCAAGGATATGGATTTGCAAACGGGTCGTCGAGATCTCGACATTCAACACTTAATCAATGAGGAACGGGCCGAGCAGGCCGCATGGCCTTGGTGGAAGAAGACGTATAAATTCTTTTGCTAGGCTGTCTATAATGATAATATGTATCTTAATTTATCCTAATTTTTTTTAACAGACTAAACCCAACGTTTCTTACATAATCCACTTCTAGACTTCTCCAGCCTTGGCGTGTTTGCATCCTGGACCCGTCACGCCGGTACAGCCGTTACGCTCCTATTACGGATAACATACCACTTGTTTTACCTTTGTGGGTTCTTCGCAACCACACAAGAAAATAGACGCTGCCATAAATAGGAATCACGTGATAGACTAGTTTCAGGTCGGTAAAAGATTTACGATACGGATACCGAGCGATACGAATACGGGCGGTGTATCAGTATTTGATCTTCTCTTTCTCGAGTCATCGGCCAACAAGAAAGAATCCTGCTGCAGGCAGAACCACTCTCGCCCTGACAGTCCATCTGTGACCTGTTCTCCTTTTGTACTCGGCCGCATTGCTTGCTTGCTCCCCTTTTCTTCGTGCTTTCTCTCCTTTGCTTCTTGTTTTGTTTCTGGTTGTTCTAATTCTCTTGTCGCCTTCCTTCTCGCCTTCTTGCTGTTGCCGCTGCTACTCCGGCGCTTGGCTTGCTTCAATCCACGGTTCTCGCTCTTTTTCTAGCCGCCCTCGCATCGAAGTCCCTCCCCTCTCCGAGCCGATACCTCAGGGTGATAATTCTGATAATTCGAACCGATATTGTGAACAAAAGGCTGGTTTTCCTTTGCTTGGCAACTAGTTTGCCTTTTCGGAGTTCATTGGTTACGTGTACAGAGTGCACAATTAAAAGCCCTTGGTTACTGCATCTCCGCATTCTTTGAATTTTTATCATCCCTGCGACTTGGGTTACACCATTCGATCTGGTTTTGCTACGTGTACGGAAACCGCTGGAGGGGATCTTAGGTTTCGTCCGAACTGTTCATAATGCCGGGTTTCGCGGATTCGTTCTGGACTCCCGACTACGCCTCGGGTTTGGGGGTGCTTTATGGAAAGCTACAGCAAGGTGTTGTGGAAAATAGGCAGATCTTTACTGTCGCGTCTCTGCGTGCGGATGCGGAAGAGCAGTATGGGCTTAAGTTGGGAGAAATTGCGCCGAGCGTGGACCGGATGCCAAACGGGTTTGGCAAGGATGATGGGGCCAGCGTGAGGAAGGTATGTATCATTTGGGAATTGTTCATTGGTCAATAGACCCATGCTGATATTGGTATTTCGCTTTCCAGGCATACGAAGGAGTCCGCACCGAGATGGTTGAGGCGGCAAAGAACCATCAAAAGATAGCATCGAATATTCGCGAACTCGTTGTCTCGCCTTTCCGGCGTTGGTGCGGCCAGCATGAGGCCCGGATTCAGCTCTCGCACGATGATCTCCAGACGCGCATCAAGGAACATACCAAACAAGTAGAGGTTGTTAAGAAGTTGCGGAGCCACTACTTCAACAAGTGCCGTGTGGTTGAAGACTTGGAGGAAGAGAACAAGCTTGCCTTCCAGGCTCCCCAAAACAGCCCCCAGTCTAAGAACACTCCTCGACTTGTCCTTCCAGAAAAACAACCAGAGGAAGAAGAACCTGTTGAGATTGGGGATCGTATCTATCCGCCGGAGGAAGTAAAGAAACTTCTGATGCATATGCTGGAGAATATCAAGGTGGGAGATGTCAAGGTGCCTATCATGGGTACCTATCAGAACACGTCGACTGGTGCAGACATCGTCGAGTACACCCAGAAGTACATGAATGCGACTAGTCTCACCTATGCGGAAACGATTGGTCAAGACCTTGTTGAAAACGGCTTCCTCCGGCTTGTGGGTAACATGGGAAACACTTTCGCCAACAGCTCGAAGATGAATTATCAGTGGCGCGCAAAGGTCTTCCAAATAACCGGCATGCCCGAGAAGAAGAAACCACTGATGCGCGTCACGTCGGCTGCCTCAAGCGAAGACGGTGGTAACGACTCCCCGATTGCGTCCGTTTCGGAGATGATTGCTGGCTGGAACCCTCTCAACAACCCGTATCCGAATGAGTCGCCAGCAGAGAAGCTGCACAGGGAAGCCCATGAAGCGGATGAACGGTACAAGGCTGCAGTACGCAAGCTTGACCAGATAAGATGCAAGCTAGAGGAAGAGATTGTCGCGAACCTTCGCTTCATGGAACAATGCGAGCTCGACCGTCTCAAGGCGATCAAGTCAGTTGTTTTGGATTTCTCTGGTGCGATCAGTAACGTCATCCCGAACCTGCAAAGCACCGTCGACCACATGATGCTATACCAGGAAACAATTCAGCCCCTAGGAGACCTCCGGTATCTCCTTGAGAACTACCGGACCGGCGGCTTTGTCCCTCGGGTCCAGGCCTATGAGAACTACTATGGCTCGGTTGAAGACCAAAACTTTGGTGTCGACCTTGAAGCCAGATCAAGAGCTGACCGCAAGCGGGTTCCTATCCTCCTAACCTCGATCTTGACCTACTTGGACGACCGTAAGTAATTGACTATCCACGTGTAATATCTTTCCGTGCTGATTGAAATATAGGTTACCCCGAACTTGAAGGAGACGAGGCACGTCGTGCCATCTGGCTCCATGACGTTCCTTTGGAGGCAACACACCGTCTTCGCAATGCACTGAACAACAGCAAGGTGGACTATCAGGAAGTGCTGGAGCAGTCTGAGATTCCCGTTGTTGTCAGCGTCCTGAAGCTCTACCTCCTTGAGCTGCCCGATTCCCTAGTTTCTTCCCAAGTTTACGAAATTGTCAAGACGGTTTATTCGACTACTGCTCATGAAACAACGGAAGAAGGACGGATTAAGGTCTTGCAGAGTACACTCGGGCAACTCCGTCTCAACAACATCGCTACGCTTGACGCCATAATGACCCATATCACGCGCCTGATTGATTTGACCTCTGCTGACGAGACGTTCGTTTCGACGCTCGCCCAGTCATTGTCACAGTGCGTTCTCCGGCCGCGCTGGGAGAGCAGTCTGACCATGGACGAGCGTCACAGCTACCGCCTGATCCGAGACCTCTTTGCTCACAAAGATGTGATTTTTGGTGAATTGAAGCGGCAGTCTAGCGCGAACGGACTTGGAAGGACGAACAGCCGTCCTCGTGCCATCAGTACCGACGAGAGCAACCGCCGTGCGGCCATGGAAGCCCGGAACCGTGCCATTGTCGACCGCAGCCGTGGTCACAGTCCAGCTCCTCCCCGCAAGCATCGCCGGGACCGCTCCAGCGGTGCGTCGGAAACCAGACGGTTCCCGATCAACGTGACTAGCCCAACGGAGAAGAGAACCATGACGAGAAGCAGCCTGGATGTCCCCAGCAACAATAACTCTCCCACTGGAACCGAGCAAATGACGAATGTGAACATCCATGCTGCTGAATCTGCAACCAATGGCACTCCAGACGACTCCCCGGTCTCTGCTGCTGCGAGCATTAGCACCTCGGGCACATCTAGCCCTCCACCGCCGCCAGCGGCTGCGACAGACGACTCGCCCACTCCCACGCCTACACCAGCACCGGTGAACACTTCCACTACAAGCGACGCTGATAAGCGCACGTCAATCTCTCGTTCTAGTCTGAAGTTTACCCGCAAGCCTGGTCTCGGTAGTGTGTCCAGCTTCCCTATGTCTGTAGGCACAAACAGCAACCGGAACAGCATTGCAGAGAGTGAACCCAATCGCATAACCCTAGAGGATAAGCCTATGGATGACGATTAAATGCGATTATCCAGTTTTCCACTGCTTTCGGTCTTGTTTCGACTATGATGACTTTTACGTGGTTTCACTTAAGGAAAATTCTCGTTTTGCCCACGCATCGCATTCCAAGTCATTTTTTTCTGTTTTACTTGGACTTTTTGACGTTCTGCCAGTAATGTGGTTGCAGTGCTCTATGGGTTTCTTTTTTGTTTTTCTTGAAAAGATTCCTATTATAACCCTCACCACTGATCGGCTTATACACATACCCAGTTTATATGCTTTATCGTTTGTTGTCACTGCAATTTTTTTTTTTTTTTTTTTTTTTTTTTTTTTTTTTTTCAAATGTTGTTCTTTCCTTTGTCCCCTTCTGTCTGACACCGGTTGATTCGGTTTGAAGCGAGCTTTGACATGTAATTTATTGTACAGCATTTGAAGCTTTGACGACTTGTTTTCTCTAGGGATATTGTATATCGCCTAGTATGAATGGTCTGTTGAAATTGAGTACCAACTTCCCTCGTGTGTTTTAAGATTTTTTTAGTATGCATATTCCTGAATAGACCCGATTTCGCAAGAAACGTTATTATTTGAGTACTGAAAACCACTGTTTATCAATTAAATAAAATGATGGATAAAGGCTAAAAGTTGGTTTAAATGGACAAAGAAGGGGGGATCATAGCCCGCATAAGCGACGTGGACGCCGCAGTCCATCATCCAACTGAAGTATGGAACGCTACTGACTACAATTAAAGGCATTGCTGGAATAGCAGAGCAGTTCTAACAATTGTATCCAATTTTTTTCGTCGTTATGCTATGCTAAGAATCACTAACCTAAAATGACAAATGCCATGAACTCCAGTATATCCAAAAGGTTGTCAGACTGATGCTTAAAATGAAAGACCGGATGCATAATCTTCGAACTCCAAAAATGCCATATGCATGCAAGGCAGATATGCAAAAAACGGCCACCATCTTTACAGTCCTTGACCTGAGAGCAACCTTCTTAAGATGCCCTCTCCCGGGCCCGCAATTTGGCCATCGATTTCCCTTTGCGATACGAAACAAACAAGTCCTTGTTCATCTGAGCCCTTGATAGGTGTCGAAGTAGTAGATCTTGACGGGGTACGTGTCAGGTCCGAGCCACCGGCAACCGTACCTCCCCGACCACGGCCTTGGAATTCACCAACCAAGCCCATAGTTTCCAGGTTGCTGAGCACATCTTTGAATTCGGTCGCCGTGAGAGGGTGGAGAATGTTATCGTTCCGGCACAACGCGCAGTACGTGTCGAAAATTTGCTTAACCGTTGGGGCGGAGATCTTGGTTCTGGACGGTGTGCTCGTGATGTCGCCTTCACGCCGCTTTCGGTCAAGTGCTATCAACGAACAGATAACTGCTTTTTGCTGGAGATTGATATTCTGTAGTCTTTGAACAGTGCCTTGTCCGAAAGCAG